GGGTGAGCAGCGTCAAAAATGCTAACTGTAAGCAAGAGGACTGTTTTATTGGATTCCTATACTAACGGTTGAATTTGAAATATACTATCATTCAAGCAATCTTACATAACTGCTTATATTCTGCATTCATTCAAAACCAAAATATAACCATATATTATTAGAAACGGTTTCTGGTGCTGTACTACCAAGTTATCGTGCCTTCAGTGGCGTAACACAAATTGAGATGCCGCCATCTAATTTGCTTTGCGCTTGTTGCAGTAAGTCTTATAAAGCTAACTTAATGGTGAAATGCGCCATATGCACAAGAACCTTCAGGCATGCTTGTGTCAATCTTTCACTTGATGAAATCAATGTGCTAAAGGATCCTGATAAGGGCTACTCTTGGTCCTGTACGAACTGTAGACAGGTTGGGAATCAATTAAATGATTTAAAAATCTTGATATTGTCATTGCAAAATGATATCAGGGCATTAAAGGCTGAGAATAATGCTTTGAAGTCTGCTGCTCCAGATAATGGTTTTGATTTTGAGGAGAGTATTGGAGAAATGAACGAGCGCAACTCCCGTAAGCGGAATATGATTGTATTTGGCTTACCGGAGCAAAATCAGAGTGACCAGCCCCAAGCCAGGGCAGACAAGGATGAAGTTGATGTAGGGAAAAATTTTAGAGTGGTGGATCCTCATTTCCAGCTACAAAATGCATCAGTAATTAGACTGGGACGACAATTTGGCGCCGGGAAAAACAGACCAGTCAAGGTGGTCTTACAGAACGAGACTCAAGTCATTAATCTGATTAAAAAGGCAAGTAATATGAAAAATAGCGCTTACACGAAGATATCGCTTTCATTTGATCGTACTCGTAGGCAGATTGACCACTACAAAAAGCTGCAAGAGGATGTGAATGCAAGAAATGCTGAAGGCACGCAGAAGTTCAGGGTTAGATATATTAATGGGAATCCAAAAATTGTGAAGTCTTTAAACTGAAGTGTTCCAGCAGTTTCGCTAGTTCGAGCTCGCGCTGTTTGTTGTGTTACTATCAAAATGTTCGTGGTTGAATAGTAAGTTACATATAATCAGTCCGGCTATTAGTGATAGTGAATATGACTTAGTTTCATTAAGTGAAACGTGGTGGAATGAGAATGTTTTGAGTGCTGAACTATTTCCTGACTCTTATATTGCTGTTAAGGAATGCATTAAATCTGAGGTCATAGATGTTGCTGTATTTGAGGCACAATTTCCATCAATTGATCTTTTAATAGTGAGATGCCATGTGGCATATAATACATTTATTGTGGCTGTTGTTTAGATTCCTGATAAAATTGCTATTGATGAATTTGAATCGTTCTTTGAAGCTATTGAGCAACTGGATTATTTGCACGACTGTAATTCCCTGTTTCTAGGAGATTTTAATGTGCCTCAAATTGTAAATGGCAATCTGCTAGACCCTAAGACACGCATTATCTATAATTTTTTGGACATTTTTAATTATAAGCAGTCAAATAATGTCTTAAGTCATCTTGGTCGGTCGCTAGACCTGGTAATTTCTAAATTACCCTGTACTGTTAAGGGTGATGAACTACCTTTAGTGCCAGAAGATAGTCACCACCCGGCACTACCTATTGATTTGACTGCCATATTCATTAAAGAGCCTAAGTTTATAGTCAATCATAGTAAAATAACTTATAACTACAGAAGGGCTGACTTTGTCAACCTGTATCAAGAGCTAATTCAATTTGACTGGGATGTTTTATTCTGTTCTTCTGATGTTAATTATATTGTTGATGTATTTTATGGCAACATTATCCAAATTTTTGACAGGCACATACCTCTGTATAAGAATTACAGTCACTGATGCCCGCCTTGGTTTCACTCAGCTATTATTAAGAACATTAAACTTAAAGCTAAATTTAGGAAAAAAATAAACAGGTCTGCTTTTGTTGATGATCTACAAGAATTTAAAGGTTTGCGACGCTTGATAAAAAATCAGATTAAATCAGCGTATGATCAATATATTGAAAATATCCAGAATTCTTTAACAATTAACCCCAATGCTTTTTGGTCATACGTTCACTCCAAAAACAACACATCACGAATCCCAGGGATAATGAAATTTCAAAATAATTCTATAGATCAGCCTCAGGATATAGTAAACGCATTCAGTGAGTTTTTCAGCAGCGTCTATGTCACTCACAAGCCCCATAATAATGCCTCACTAAATCATAGTAATTTATTTGTCCATTTTCATCCAATTGAGGAAAATGAAGTCAGGAAGGCCATTAAATCACTAAAGGATAAGATGACATCTGGTCTAGATGGCATCCCGTACTTTATAGTCAAAGATTGTTTATTGTTCGTATTAAAAAAATCCACTTATAAATAGGGAACACAATGTTGATACATACATTGTTTTTCTTTTTAAAACCTACACTGCACCTTTTGTATTTAAATACGGTGTTCAAAGTGTCGTCCTCCACTTTCCACTCAAGCTTCATTACGATGAACCCAGTTTCTTCTTACTCTAGGTCCTCGAACTGCTCCATTTATTATTTCAGCCGCGAAATTGTGCTTCAGTTGTTATTGGACCAGCCCCATAAACCATCCCTTTAAGTTCTCCTCAATACCAGAAATCCATCGGATTGGGGTCAGGAGATCTTGGTGGACATTTTCGAGGATTAGGAGCTTTTCGACCGATCCAGCGATTTGGATAATGTTCGTTCATATACTGAATGACGCCTCTAAAAATGTGTGGTGGTGCTCCCTCATGAACAAACCACAAATTCTGACTCCGTTGTAATGGCCCAAATATTTATTTTAAAACGTTGTTGGAAATGACCTTCACGAATGCTATGAGGATTTTCTTTGACTCACGTGTGAGTATTAAGGAAATTTAATATCCCGTCTCGCGTAAAAGTACATTCGTCCGTCGCTAGAATGTTTTCAAAAATATCCGGATTTTCAATTTTTTTGTGCAAAAACCACTGACAGAATGTTAGTCTGCTAGGACAGTCTTATGGTATCAAGACCTTCACGCGTTGTACATGGTAGGGATAAAGCAAATTTTCCCGTAGGATTCTATGGACTATGGTATGCGATAGTCCTACGCGGCGGCCCAATTTCAAAGTGCTGACATCGGTGTTGATTTCCACGATATTTAAAATTTATTCCTCCTGCTCTACAGTAACCTGTCTTTCACGAGTGCGAATATTAGTGGGCTGAACACCTCCTGTATCTCGAAGTCTTTGGTACACTTGCACAAATGTCCTTCTGTCTGGGTGTAACCGTTGGCGGAATCTGTCGCGATAAATTTGAGCTGCAAGATATGAATTCTGACGAGCTTCACCGTAAACTAACAGCATGTCGGCGAACTCTTGATTCGAGAACATTGTAAATAAACATGACGATGTATGCGAACAAAAACAAAACAACACGCTCGACAAAACGATAAAGTAATTTATCTGTGCAAAACGATAAGTAACCACTGTTAGCGTTTGCGCTCGATTGCCGGTTCGATAAGTGTGACGAAAGACCAACGTGCTGTTGTCATGTGTGTTTTAAATATTCAATTCAATGAAACTTACTTACTGACTACAAATTTTGCATTAACTTAGAAAAACCTAATGCCATTTATTTGTTGATTACCCAATTTAAAAACGTTTTAGATGAGATTTAGATTCAGTTGTCAAAAATTGTGGGAAGCAATCTCACAGATCCAAATACATGAGAGTCCCGTGACGGACACACTCATTGATCCAATGTGAGGAGTATTTCTTTCACGGAAAGCCCAGATAGTGCTGTGCGATTTCTGACATGGCCTACGGCTTTTTGATGTAATTGCACTACATAAAGAATTCTACAAGAAGCTGATACAAAGACAGGTCTACTTTTTTACTTTTGCATTAACCCAAGTTATAAGTTCACACCAGCGTTCTTACATTTTTCAAGTCATTTTTCTTTTAACATGTAACAACATCGAATGTATCTTTTCACTGTCTTCTCCAATAATTTGAGTGAAGCTGTATGCAAGAATGACAAAATCAGATGGCTGCTAATTTTAAAACTTTCCTTTTTGGAGGCAGAAGAGCAAACCCCTGCTCCATCACCACTCACGCAACAATCTGTTTACACACGAAATTTGCTACATCAGGCACTGTGAGTGTCTCACATGTCCGCTGAATGATAATTGTTGATAAATATTGACATTCTGGAGGTAGATACACGTAAGCGCAGACATGCAAGCACGTGGTATTGGTGATACGAGGGATATTTTTTAAGTGAGGATCGTTTTGTAATGTTTCTACATAATCACCATAAACATTTGCGCATGTGTTGAATGTTTCCAGATTGTGTATGGTGTTGTAACAGTTGCCTTTTATTGCCGATGAATCATATATTTATTTTTGTTGTTGTTGTCGCACAGGTTTAATTTGAAGAATGCAGCAAGAACTTAAGAAGGAAGAAACAAAAGCCGATAATCTAATCTAATATTCTCCGTAACATATTATTTTTATTCATAGCATATTATTAAATCAATTTTATTGACAAAAATGACTAGACCGGCCCATTGACCATTTCCCAAGATAGGGCTTGTTTTTAACGGTGTATTTAGCTATATTTTTCTCACGTAATTCATAACCAAAATAAATAACACGCGGACATTTACCTGTTATCATGTTTATTTGAAATAACAAACATAACACATGACTACCACGCAATAACTATAATTTTTAATTTGTATCCGTTGTTTTCTTCTGTAGTCGTTTGGCTGCCTATATAGTAGTCAGCATCTTCCATGTCACTGAACAATTTGGGAACTGAAACCAAATATTCAATTAAACATAATCCATCCTGATCTATTTTATAATCCAAAAATTTCAATTATTAAATTTAACGTACAGCAATCGCACTGCATTTTGATCATCTTTACAGTTTCTACCACTAAGTTTATAAATGTGTAGTCAATTTTGCATGCTCAGGTAATTAATTGAAGAATTTACTCGCCCTTATATGGACAATTTCTTCTTGTGTTGCCTAGTAATTCCCCTGGTTTACCATGAGTAATAATTTTAGTATTCATCTCCACATATTTTCATAAATAACTCGGTTGCTTCCATCCCATGCTAGATCTTCCACCGTCAAGAAATCAATTCAATCTCGAAATTTTCGCCTCGGGGATTTGTTCACATCCCAACAACAATCCGGTTTGTCGCTCCGGAGCTAAAAATAAATAAATAAATGTACATCTATAAATTGATATCACCTTCTGAATTAAAAACTATTTGTGTTGCATAAATATTATTACTCACCTATTGAACTATGTATTTCTTTTATAGTCAGATGAATTTATTATCGTTTTCTGAAATCTTCCAAGGTCAAAGGCTGATGTCGCTGTCGAGGTACTATTCTGCGTACCGAACTACTTGCACACCTCGCTTGTTCCGCATAGTTGCCAATTTTATTTATGAATTTCCTTATGTTTATTAATCAATCAAATTTATATGCAGATATGACAGTGTTGCCACATTTACTCCCGATATTTCCTTGAATTTATATTAGGAACCTTCTCATTTTGGGATTGGCCGACAACGTTTGGCTCTTTATGGTCGTACAACTATATTTGGAAATGTCAAGTCGAAAAAATTAAATTTTGGGATGGGACTTCCTTCCACTATCGGAGGGCCATCTTGTTCTGTTCCGCTAGTACCAGGAGGCCTGAAATTTTCCTCCTTTTTTGCCTGGGGCATCTTCGTTGGATTGTGGAAGAAAATTTCATAGATAATTTCCTGGGTCATTCCTGTTGTGAGTGCGTTTTTTTTGTCTACCCTTGGACCCGAGAAATTCTACAATCTGTAGGATCTTATTGTCTTCAGCCGCACTTTTCGCCAGCCGGAACCACGTGAAAAACCCTACCTGGTATCATCTAGGTGAGCATTATTTTATTTTAAGTAAATGAAAATTTAGGCAAAAGACCATATTTCTCATATATATGAGTTTTCTCAAAAGTAAATAATTATTCTTGTTCTAAAATGGAGTTAACTTAGTATTGTGTGGAGCATGCGTTGGTTTTATATTTTCCGAGTAACTCAAAGTGTAATTTTAAATCTGTTATTTCGGGTGGTCAAAAATCATGATTGAATTATCTAAAATATTTAATTTCTATTCGCGTATAATTATTATTCAATATTTGAAGATTACTTTTCCAATTACGTTAATTGTTGTTAACTAAATTTGTATATATAATATATAATACTATTATTCTTCCTAGGGTTTTTTATTTTGTTTTCTACCGGGACCTCTTTCCGAACAGAGACCCTTTTTCCACCATAGGGATTCTTACGTCATCGGTTTTGAAGCCTTCCTCGCCCATTTTAAAATAGTTAGTCAATAAGCTTGCGCATTAAGGGAGATCTCCTAGTTTGGTTGGCTTAAATTTTTGTTGTTAGCCGTTAGTAGATGTAATAAAATGTATTGATGTTAATTTTAGCAATTATTTACCCACACAGAAAATCTATTGTTTGTATGTATTTTTGTTTTTGTTTCTTGGGGTTCTGGGCTAAAGAGTGCCCTTCAACACCAAGGCGTCTTCCAGTTTTGGCGGATAAAAGCTGGTGGCGCCCCTAAAAAGTACCTCCCCTACTCTCCGGTGTACCTGAGGATAGGGCCTAATTTGCCAACGCTAAACCACGACTTTAGCCTCAGTAACCCTCTAGTTTTTTTTTTAATCATCTATTGCCTCAATTGAGAGAAGTAACTTTAGCTCAAAATTAAAAAGTGATCGTAATTAAAAAAAAAAAGAAAAAGCGTGGCAGTGTCGTCAAAGGATGCTGCCAGTTAGTAACTGTTACTTTCACCCCGTCATTATTTTTCAAGCGCTTTCTACCTAGAGAAAAAGGTGAAGGTCAGGTATCTATGATGGATGATCCGGGTATTCTCAACAAATATTCGTCTGGGTTCCACCAGCAACGTGAGGCCGAGCATTGCCGTGAAGCGGAATGGCTACTCTAGAGAACAGGCCCGCAACTTCTTTGTATCAGGGGTTTGAAGGTGTTTCATGGAGATGGCTGGTTTAGAAAGTACAACTTCCATCAATAGAACCCTCTAAAAAATTCTGTATTCAAAAAACCTAGTGTGAAAACTTTATATCAGACACTATAATTTTTATGTGAAACTGCAAGCCGTTATATAAAGGAGTTGAGGAGAGATCAATTTATAGCCGTGAATAGTTACAGGGTGTTAGGTCTATTTTTTTAAATAAGCATCAAAACTGCTAGAATTTGTGGGATATGAAGCTCATTTTGGCAAAAAGTCTTCTACGCTCTCTAATACTAAACTACTTGTAAAAGTGACTGACATGCAGATTGCCAAAGCATAGTGCTTTTTAGTACAAAATGGCAAGTAGCGATGAGGACCCCAAAACTGTGCTATATATCAAACTTCTTCCATTCAAGAGGCATTTCAGAATATACTGAAATATAATAATAATAATATTTATTACCCTCACTAAACAGTATATACCAAGTTTACAAACAAAAAAAGCATTAAGAGAATAAAGGGCTACCTCAGCTTGCCCCCTAAAAAGCAGCTGCTGGAGCCAAAAAAAAAAACAAACAAATTCAAACAATTCTATAGTAATACAAAGAGAAGAGAAAAGGGGGAGCAGGAGATGTGTTTTCTATGATATCTGAGACAGTAAATCACTTTTAAGGTTCCTCTTAAATGTAGCTATGGAGAGAGAAATATCTTTAATTTTGAATTTATTTACCAGGAAGGCAATCTGATATGAGAATGATTCCTTAAATGATTCTTTATTGTGTGATAGTATTGTAATCAAATGCAATATTCTAATGTTTAGATTATATACATCAGTCCGGTAACTAATTTTTTAATGAAGATAAGGGTGGCTTCTATAATCTATAATCTTGTAAAAAAGAAAGCAGGAGTACGCCTCTGAGCCATATTCAGTCATCCCAGTTCAGGTAGTTTGTGGGATACTCTTCGTCTACCCCTTATGCCAAATATTAGTCTCAGACAAGAGTTCTGAGCTTTTTGAGCCTGTTTTGTTTCACACTATCAACGAATGGGCCATACACCATATCAGCAAAGTTGAAGTGGGACAACACTAAAGCTTCGCGTGGCTTTAGTATTTTGTGATAGGTAGTGTCTATGGGGGTAAATTATTTTTAACATTGAATATGCTTTTCTTAGGCTCAGAGTAATGTGCTCTCTAAACTCAAGTTTAGAGTCAACCACTAAACCCAAATCCTTCATGGAATCCCTAAAGGATACTATACGTATATTGTCCTCTAGTTTGAGCTTAGTATTATTTTCTAATACGTTTCTGTAGGAATCACTACAAAACAATAGAGCCGTCGATTCACTAGGGTTTATCTTTAACAAGTGACCTTCAGAGGTTTTATGAAGGCTATTCAAGTCGGTATTCAGTCGGTTTGTTATAAGTTCTGACAGATCTGGTTTAAAAGAGGCATAAATTTGAGTGTCGTCAGCATAAAGATGATATTGACAATAACTTAGCGACTTCATGAAATTAAAAGTATATACGCTATACAACAATGGACCCAAAATACTGCCCTGGGGTACCCCTGATGTAATTGTAAATGTATCTGATATGTTCCCGTCCAAAGTCACGCGCTGCATCCTTTCAGATAAAAAAGAACTTATTAATGCATAGGCCGGCTGCATATGCAGCACATTCCATTTAAAAAAATGTATGTCTGTATAGCCACCATATATACAAGGTGTATAATAATTACCTACAATTTTCGTGGCTACCTTTTTAGATATGCTTAAAAATAATTGAGCTATCCACCGATTGCATGCCAAAATTACGCTAGCGTCCTCGGATCCGTAGTTCAAATCTCCATCGATGCCATCGGCGGCTGAGCTGGGTGCAGATAGTGCAAAGGTAAATAATGTTTGTACGCCTCTCAACGCGGTTACAAACGTTCAAATGAGATTTCTGTCCGAACGGTCGTCATTCGACGACGGGAGATGGGAAATCGAGCCCGCAAGTGCTCCCTAACACTGACTGCGTTCAATTAGAGCTACATACGCGTGGGTATGTTGGAGATGTATTGACGACTCCTCCAACCGAGGACAGTGCCCGTGAAATGATGCAGTTTAAATACATGAAAAATAGGTTAAATTCAAGCTTCATCTCCGTAGTTTTCTAATATCTTGTTACTGTTTCCTTTTATTTAGAATAATTTTTATAACAGTTCTTTAAAACATTGAATTTTATTTCTTTAGCAAAACACTAATAACTCTATAGTAGAAAATCGTACTCTTTAAAGGTCATTTTTAATAGTGCTGTTTCGTGTGCTCTCGTGTAGTAGTTTAGAGGCCACAACCTACGCTAGTGAATATGATTTCACACCCAATGCAGCAATGTGACGGGTTGTGGAAATTTTGACCGAAATCTATTGAGCCGGAGTTCTCACCAGTAGCAGGTGTACAGGGTGTTTCAGAAAGACTTGCCAATATTTCTATGGTAGAGAGTACATTTAAATATGACAAAAAGTCCATATAAATACGGATCTAAAAATGCTCTCCTACGGATAAAGATACTAAAGATTCGGGACGTTCAGTGAGCGCAACATTTGCAGACAGAGCTTCCTGGCCCAAACTAAGCCATGTACGTAGAGATTGGGGTATCTGGAAACCTAATAGGATATATGTTCTAAGTCACTTGGCTTTTCGGAGAAAAGATGTACATTTTGTAACTTTTATAAATTAGCATTCAATTTTCTATGAATTTTGTCTTTCTGGGAGATCACTCGTTTTGGAGATATGTATTTAAGTTTGAATATTTGAGGTAAAATCCTAAAATATCCTTAGGAAAAGGTTTATCCTCCCCTATTCTGGAAACATTATGAAGCTGGATATTGAAAACACTGAGAAATCTATGGCACCTCATTACGACGTTAATTGAACCATATCCGTCTCTATGCACGCCACTGGTTTTCATAAATCACTTCTCCTGGTAATACCTATGTTAGATTCTCCTGTTTGTTGAAAATAAAAATCAGTTTGAGTGATTTTTTATTATTTTAGTTCTGAGATTATCGGCCTTTTGTCCTCGAAGTTCTTTAGGATTTCGAATTAAGTGAACTCAAAAAAGAAGATATCACAAGTCGGACAAGAAGTATGAAGACGAAGCATACAGAAAGTTTTCAACACTGTTTATACAGCGCCAGGTACTTTCCAAATAGTTAAAGAGTCTTTGTGGCCTAGATCACGGGATTGTGTTTAATCCAGAAGTGGTCACAACACCTCCTTCAGGTCGGATGCTACGAGCCCCTTCCCACTTCAGTTGGCCCAACTATTGAAATCTTAGTTTTTTTCTTATCAAACACAAATAATAAAAATGTAGCAGGGTGTTATAGGTTTAAAATATTAACAATGAATATGTTGATAATATACAGTAGAAAACACCAACTTTAACACTCCCTAATCCAATTTGAAGCATAAAAATAACACATGTTGCAATTACAGCATATCAACCTATTTACATTTCAATGCAAAATAAGTCTATAACGCATAGGTGGCTGTGAAAAATAAAAGCCATGACAATTGTTTTTATTAATCACAGCTGTCAGAATAGGTACATTTAAAATAGTTTTGGGTAGTTAAGGTTCTCAAAATGGGTAGAGGAAAGGTTATTAGTGAGAAAATTCGGTTGCTGATAATTAAATTTTTTAATTCTGGGATATCAAACTCAGAAATTGCATCTTTGTTAGACTAATCGCGGTACAGCGTGAGAAATATTGTTAGA